TGATTCATTCAGGAGGTGGTGGAGTGGAAAGGGGTGCAGCCTGATAGCTGATGCAGACCTGGACTGGGGAGTGGCAGTAAGGATGGACAGAAGGATGCAGATGGGAGAGAGATGGTGGCCTCTGAGTGGCCCAGGCGTGGTGTGGCTTCCTGTCGGTCTGCTGCTATGACCGATACACCATGGCCCTCTCTACTTCCTGCTCCTGCTCTTCTCGGATGCGGCTTAGATACTTGTGTGATACTAAGAGAGTAAACCCCTCCAAGTCTAGTCTGCCACTAACACGAACCACGTGTGCTTCTCCTCAGTGTTTTCCTTGGACAGCGTGTCTGCTTTTCCTCGACCACAAGCTGATGTCTTGAAAATTGCTGATGGAGTGTTCTCTCCTTCCCCTGCATGCTTGTGATGTGGCAGCTTGACGTGGCTCCCTCTCCCTTCCTGCCCACTCCGCAGCTGACTCACTTGCTTCCTGGGTTTCAGTCCTCCTCAGCCCAGCTCCACTTCTTTTTATTATCTGGGGGAAAGGGTGGTGGATGATTTCTAGTTTCCAAAGATAACATCTCCCAGAGACTGGACTTTCTCGGCCTGCCTCTGGGTCAGGGGTCCCTGTGGGGTGTCCAGATTATTGCCTGTGGATGCCAAGTATGATAGTTCTCTCGTAAAAGTAGTCGTGGCCAATGAACTCAGATACACTAAGATCAAAAGGCTTTTTTTTCCTCCAGTCCTTGCAAACAGTGATCTTATGGACTACAGTTACCATTGATAGGAAGATCAGGAAGAGACTGAAAAAAGGAGGGTGATTTCTCTAATTCAGCCTTGCCTTGTCCCACATGGTGGTCATTAGTCACATGATACTACTTAAATGTAAATTTAAATTAATTAGAATTAAATAAAATTAAAAGTTCCATTTGCAGGCACAGAGCCCCATTTTAAGTGCCCAGTAGCTTTTAACTACCATGTGGAACAATGGAAATATGGATTTCCACCTTTGCAGAAAATTCTGTTGGACACCTCAGCCCGGGTCACTGGGGACACTTGGATAGCTTGAGTTTTGTCAATCTTGAAATACAGCCTCACAGTGGAATATTATTTGGCCCTGAAAAGGAAGAAAATTCTGACACATACAACAAGGAGTGAATCCTGAGGACCTTGTGCTAAGTGAAATAACATAGTCGCAGAGAAACAAAGATTGTAAGATTCCATTTATAGGCAGTGCCTAGTATAGATTTCTACAGCTAGAAAGTTGAATAGTAGGTGTCAAGGACTAAGGAAGGGAAATGGAGTTAAGTGTTTAATGAACATAGAGTTTTAGTTTGGTAAAGAGGTTCTGGAGATGGTTAGAAGCAATAGTTGTACAACAGTGTGAATGTACTCAATGCCACTTATTTGTACACTTTATAATAGTTGCAATGATAAATTTTATGTTATATATACTTAATAAAAAAATAAACTGTCTCACAAACTATTAAAAGTTACTCCCAAGTAACTCTCAGAATAATGTATACCTTAGGACAGAGTACAAAGAGGGGGGTTTCTTGTTTATCACCTAGTATGTCTCTGGAGAGTTTATGTTCAGCACTTTTTTACACAGTCCCCCAGCAGGCAGTGCTCATTCTGCAGGTAAATTAGACCTGATGGGCAAGTGTCTGGCCAAGGACACACAGCTGGCATGAGACAGCATGAGATTTCAAAACTCAAGTTTGTCTGCTCAGCAGGGGCATACAAGTGCCCCTCGCTATCTGGTAGTGGAGAATTTCCGCAAAACCCTCCCCATAAGCTAAAGTGGTGTAAAGCAAAAAAGCACTTACCAGTAATTTAGATGGAAAATTTTTGAACATTCCCAGACTTGAAAAATAACTTCCCAGATCATACTAAATAACACATAAAACCTAAAATAACATTAATGGTTAATTTTTTAAAAAAAGGAATGATATGATAAATACACAGCCTGTAGAAAGCCCTGGGAAGGAGCTTGGTTGGGCCACACTCACTGCTGGGGTGCTGTGCCTCTAGGAAAGCAAAACCAACATGGAACACTTTTTGCTTTTCGTCTTTTGTAATAAAAATGAAAATCCTCTTTGGATTTCCTTTAGTTCATGCAAATGGGTTCTAATGTAGGTCTTTCCTAAAAGCAAAGTGGCATAACATGACCTTTAGAAAATCAGGGGCTGCCTGAATGTGTTTTGACTTTGTGGTGTTCAAACCCAGGTTTGTTGTCTCAGCTTAATAACACTAGGGGAGACACTGTGGCTCTTTGGACCACCCTTATCTGGGAAAAAGCAAGTCAGGACAAAGAGTGAAAGAGTAACTTCCTAAGATGGAACCGTGACAACCCCAGGGAGGACTGATAGACTGTGCTGGGTTGAACCTCTCTAGACAGTGTGTACATCCAGACAGCATTCATCAGAATCAGAGTAGAAGTGGGCACGGTAAGGTGGGTGTATTTGTGGCACTTTCCTCGTTTTTTTAAGTTTCCTTTGATGGTGCTTCAGCATAACACACACATTAAAAAGGAAAAAGAAGATCGCATTAGGCAAAGCCTGTAGATCTCTAAAACACTCTGAAGTTGAGACTGATTAAATTACTCTGTTATAAAAAAAGAAAGCAAAGCTGTTCACCTGTGCATGAAATATTAAACTTACGTCCGCTCAGCCTGATTTTTCATGAAGCCACCTCTGAAGTGATCTCATGGGAAAGAGAATGGGATTCAGATTAAGATACTTAACCTAGTGGGACCATCACTTAACTGTGTGACCCCAGGCTGTTCCCTGTCTCTCTCTGTTCCCTCCTTTCCTCCTCTGTGACATGGGGATTATGTATATATCTCACAGGCTATTTATGCAACTCTGCTAAAATTAGGTATCTGACAAGACTGGTTCATTGTGCACTCCCAAACAAATGTTAGTAGTGGTTACTATTCTTTAATATTAATAATATGAACAGTATTAATCAAACATACTTGACAAACACCTCCTCCCCCAAAATTTTCACTCAGTTGCATTCGTTGGTTTAGCCAATTTCCATTGAGTGCCTATTGCCAGCATTGAAGCGCTCATGATTCAAAAAGGGAAGCCTGCCTTTTCCAGCAAGGTTGAATGTGAACACATCAATTGCTATAGGATGGTGGACCAAGCATTTCCCCACCGGAATACAGCACAGAGCAGGGCCAGGTTGGAAACCACAGCCTCCATGAACAGAGATACGATCTCAAGCCCAGGCTTCTGGAGCACACCCATGCATCTCAGCAGCCCTTCCTGGTGCCAGCCAAGCTGAAGTGAACCTCCCTACCCAGAGGTGTCACCAAAAACAACAGAGGGGGCTGGGAATGCTGTTCCATGGCACTGTGTCGCAGTCCTTTTAAACTGTCTTCTAGCATCTCAGAGTGGGGTGCTATGAGGGCAAAGATTGCACGGTCTTCATTCTCTTGCCCCACCACTTGCCGGCTGCAGACCCACGGCAGATGTCCCCCACTTCTCTGGGCCTATTTCCTGGATAATAATATCCATCCTGAAAAAGTCTTCTGAAGATTTCTTGTGAGAATATTTCCAAAGAATCAAGTCCATGCTTGGTGTCTCTACATGTTCCTCTATTCTTCCCTTCAGACTCCCTCCGCCCTCCCCAAATGCCTATACTATAGCTTTACTTATTTCTCTCCAGCTAGTCAAAGCTTTCTTTATTTTTCTCAGAAGTTTAGATCTACAGTGCCAGGCTTACTTTCTCCTTGAGGTAAAAGGAGATGGGAGGCTTTAGGAAGCTCAGGGCTCCCTACCCCTCTGCTGGAATCCTTGTCAGGATGGGTTAGAATGTGCTGCTATGACAGATAACCTTACTAGACAGCAAGGGTTAATTTCTCACTCCATCAGAAGAGAGGGGTATGCACCCTCACTCCAGGACCCTGGCTAGCAGAGAAGGCACTGTCTGGAGTGTGGCCAGACACCATAGCAGAGGGAAATTGGGAGCAGTGAATCACATTTGATGCTTCCATCCAAAAGTGACATATGTCTTTCCTGCTCACAAGTAATTGGCCACATCTCATTTCAAGAGGGTGGGGAAGCACACACATACTATGGGCTCAACAAAGAACCAGAATATTTGGAGACAGTGTGAATGACTACCCCAACCCAACTTGAATCTAAAACATGGGTATAGTATGGCCAATTTAAGATGAGGCCCACATTTATGGTCGCTTCCCCCAAGTTACTAATCCTTGTGATTCTGTGTATCAAAAATATTCCACATTAACTTCCTAAAATATCAGAAAGGCGTTGATAGCACTATTAAAGGTTTTCATTTTGGTTAGTCTGTCCCAGTTCCTCCTTCTACCCCCACAGCAGCCTAAGCTTGTTCTGTAAATCATCGATTTACTTTTCATTCTCCTCTGTGGATGGAGTCTCTTCGTCGCTATACCCCATGTACCTAGCCCAGATCCACAGAGCTGACTGTGGAGCCAACCTGGACAATTCTCAGTGGGCAGGGAAGTAGAATGATCTGGTAGACAGAGACCTAACCAGATTAATGGAACCTCAGTGGTTTTTTCCTTAGCATCAACTTGCAAATCTTTTACTTAGAAATTTGCTACTTTTTTAAAATAAAATTTTATTGATTTACCATCAGTCTATGATACCACATAAATTTCAAGGGTACATCTTCAATGCTACATATATATAAGCCTCCCTTAACCTACCACCATCACCTGTAATTCTTAGGAGACAGACCCTGGGAATGTCACTCACATTTCCAGTCTTGTGGCTGGCGACCCCCAGAAAACTGAGAATGGTCCCATCCAGCTCTTAGGCTTCACCAGTATGACAGCCGTGGACACAGACAACTCTTCATTGGAGCTCCTAGGCCTAACTGGCATTGCCCTCCCCATTGCTACTTGGGGTTTGTGAAAAGCTGAACAAAGTGAGCCTTTATACATCAAAACACATTTTTCACAGAGTCCTTTTAAATGTTAAAGATGCATTGATCATAGTCATTGGTATCGCCCCTCCCCCTTTTAGATGCAGATGTTGGACAAATTTCCCATGGAGGGAGGACAGAAGGACCCCAAACAGCGGATCATTCCCTTTCTGCCAGGTAAGTGAGACACAGCTGTCCATCGGGCCTTGGGGAATCTGATATAGCTCCCAGATCACTCTGCTCATCTTCTTTCAGGGGTTACCCCAACAACCAGAGTCTCAGTCATGCTTAGGCTAAGAATGTGAACATTGGGCTCAGATATCCTGTATGACCTTAGGCAACACACTTCACCCCTGGGTCCTCAGGGTCTCTTACCTCTAAATAATAAGAGTTCAGAAAGCTTTTGTCATGAGTGCCATCTGTTATCGTGGCTGCTGTATTAGTATCCTACCACTATATAACAAACTACCGCCTGTTTAGCAGCTTAAAACAATACCCATTTGTTATCTCACAGTTCCATTGGTCAGAAGTCCAGGCTGTGGAGGCTGAAGTCAGGGTCTTGGCTGGACTGGACTCTTACCTGGAGGATTGGGGGAAGGATCCACTTTTGGTCTCAGGTTGTTGGCAGAGTTCGATTCCCTGCAGCTATGAACCAAGGTGCTGTTTCCTTGCTGGCTGTCAGTGGGGAGGTCCCTCGGCTCCCACAGTTGCTGCAGTCACATCCATCTTCGAGTGGGCAGTGGAATCTTTCTTGTGCTTCTAGGCTCTCTGACATCCCCTCTGCCACCAGTAAGAGAAAATTATCTGCATTTCAGGGTTCATGTGATTACATTATGCCCAGCTAGGTCTCCTGATCCAGGATGGCCTCCCTCTTTTATAGTCAACTGTGGAGTATAAAGTAACAAAATTCCAGGAATGAGATCTCACCATATTGACAGGAGGTTTGGGGTGGGGTATCTTTGGGGGGCCATTTTAGAAATCCTGCTTGCCTGCAGCTACCAAGCACTTTCTAAGTGCCAGGTTCCACTCGGGATATAGTAGAATTAATACAAAAGTAGCTAGTCCTTGCTTTCAGTGCATTTAGTATTCCTTTCCCCCCCAAATTCCTTACTAAAAGAACAGCAGCAAGGCTTCAGCTCAAGAAAATTTGGCTTACTCAAACCAGTGTTATTGCATCAAGTAATACTAGCTAACTTGTGTGGGATATCTGCCGTGGGCCAGACGCTGGGCTAAGTGCTTTACATTCATAACCTCATTCAGGCTTCAGAACAACTCTCCATGACTGTGCCCATTTCACAGATGGGAAAATTGAGCCTCAGAGGAATTATAATCACTTGCACACATGGCAAAGCTGGGATTCAAATACAGGTATGGCTGGCTGACTGCAAAATCCATGCCAGATTCCCCAGATGCACATTGTAGGACACCCCATCATCCACTATTGCCTTGGGTAAATCACCTAAGCACACCAGGTTTCCTTTCTTCACTTGCAAATTGGAGATAATCCTGGTATTTAAATGATAGGATTGGGTGAGGATTAGGTAAGCTCCTAGCACATAATTAGCAGGCATCAAGTACTTACTATTATTTTCATGTATGAATAATTAGCAAGTTGACAATCCCTCTAAATTACAACTAAATAAAGCTGGAAGGGCCCTTTAGATCTTTTTCATGTAACAGACACGGGAGCGGGCTCAGTGATAGGAGAGACTCGTGTAAGAGCTCAGTCTTCGCTCTCTCACTCCAGGATTCTGCCATCAGTGGATTCTTCTAGATGTTCCCTTGAGTAGTTTAGAGCAGGGTGGTTGTATTTGCCAGACCCCCATTTACTGGGAGAACCATTTGCCTAAACAAGCTAAACTTTTTAGTTCTTCCACGGGAAAAGTGTGCAATTGCACTGGAATTTCTTTTTTTTTTTCCTACTGGAGAAAACCCAGTGTGCCAGCTACAACAGCCAGATGTCAGTGCTCCAAGGCATGTGCTTTAGAGTCAGACACACCCAGTCCTGAGATCTCAAGCAGACGACATCTCCTCCCCGCTCCAATCCTTAGTATCCACATCTACAGAATGGGACAATCACCTGTGCTTCACCAGCTTCTTTCCCTGTCACTAGTAGGTCCTCAGTAAAGGCAGAAAAGAGGTCCTGGGACCTTCCTTTGAAGTTTTTTGGCAGTTCATATCTTGGGGTCCCATTTAATAGTCAATCTGGTATTCAGGGCCTCCCTGGTGGCCTAGGGGTTAAGTCTCACCTGCTGGTACTGCTACGGCCTGAGTTTGATCTCCTCCAGAGAGCTAACCCACATGTGGCACAGCAGACCTCTCCTCTCTTGCCCACTGCTCAGCAGTGTATTTCAGTAAATCTGCTCCCCACTCTGTCTCTGGTGAATCCTCTCATCCCCCAAACCTCTGGCCTACACCCAGTTCCTCCACGCAAAAAAAAAAAAAAAGTCTGGATATTCAAGCTGAACTGAGCTCTAAATGTAGGTGTTTCTTCAAGGGAGGAAAGCAGAGTACTTAAGATCTAACTCTTCTGGAGAAAAGACAAAAACCAGCTCTCCAGCTCTTGGAAAAACTTCCCAAAACAGGGAAGATTAAGTCGACCCTCTCCCAAGCCCCTGAAAGCCTTTGTGGTTACATCATCCTTTTCCACCCAAGAATTCATAAAAATGCTTTTCTCAAGAACTTGGCCCCTTTGCCCTGGTCGGGGCGCCCACTTGCAGCTTGGTGAGGTCCCGCTGCACCCTAGGATGCTTGGGGCATCTTTCACAACCCACCTCTTAGCTTTTCTTGGAGGCCAAGGGCAGGGCGCCTGGGAGAAGTGTCCCCTCTCTTAGGGGTCAGTTTTCTGCCAAGACTGCCTCATCAGCAGAACAAAAGCAAGTCTCATGTGAGCACAGAGGCAGGCAGCAGGAGGGGCCCTGTGTGATTTTCCACCCCAGTGTTGGGGGTGGTTGGGGGGAGCAACTTGGCAGAGGATGCTGCTTGAAAAATAAGAATTACAGTTTGGCTTTCCTCCACTATGGAAAACAAAAGCCTGCTGATTCCCTCCACAGACTGTTCCCTCCACTGAGTCCTCTTTCCTCTACAGGAAGGTGAGGCCTGGGGAGGCTTGCTTGCCCTCCTTCCCCATGGCTGCCGCAGAAACAGTTCACACCAGGTGGGGATGGGGGCGGCTGTCCCATCAGCATTTCACCCCGGAGGCACTGGCCACCCAAGGAGGTGCTGGCCACACAGTTCTGCCCTGTGACTCCATCTCTGCTGGTCATTAAGGAAAGAACATGTCCTTGGTTATTTTTTTAATTGTATCTTTTTTTTTATCAGGGTGATGTGGGTTTCCAACACTGTATGATTATCTAGGGAACATATATAGGGAAGTATAGGGAAGAACCTGCGCTTATCGCAGCATGTAATGTGGTATCTTCTAACAGTTTTTTTTTTTTTTTAAAAAAGTTCCTGTTATTTTTGTGGAGGGCGCTGAGCCCTATGCTGGGAGTGTCATGGAGTTTTTCTACCTGCAAAGAGGTGGGGCTGCTCTCCCATTTTGCAGGTGAGAAGACAGAGACTATAAGAGGAAAGTGAATTTCCCAAGGCAGCCCAGTTGGTCAGAGGCAACCCTCAGGCGGGTTCAACCTGTAGTCTTGCCCACAGACAGCCACTGTACAGGGGGCTTCCAGTCCCACTGAGGCTGCAGAGGAATAGGAGTGACACTTTGTCCTGTGTTACAACCCCCAGAGGCACTGGGACCCCCGGTGACCTGTCACTCTCAGGCCTTTGGGTGGTGGTGCTCCAGGACCAGCCTGGGTCTGTCTGCTCCCTGGGCCAGTGCCAGTACCATCCCTTTTCTTGTCCTTTAAGCTGCCTTCCTGCCTTCTCAGTGAGAAATTTCTACACCCCACTGACCGCCTTTCCGCTGCAATTATACCAAAATGCTTTGGTAGGGACTTTTCTCTCGTTTTGAAAAATAGGTTAGAGGGCAAGAAGTATTTGCTGCTTGGGGTTTCTCTTCACAGTTATGCATTCCTTACTTTTCCAGAAGACTTAGGATGCTCCTCAGAGTTCTAAGATGTGGGTCCCTTCATCTACCAGAGCTGGTGAAATCCTAACTTGGTTTCACAGTGACGAGTGGGAAGAAAACTCTGGGCTTTCTGAGGATTTGGAACAGGGACAGTAGCCACCCAGCAAGGCAGGGGACACCCCCACCCAAGGAAGGCCTGCTCCACAATGTCAGCTCTAGGAGGCAGCCCCCAACGCAGGAACAGTGAGGGCTCACCCGGAGCCAGCACACTTCAGGGAATGAAGGAACAAGATCCTCACTTCCAGGGATGCCAGGTTGTGAACCTCCTCCTGCTTTGCTGCATCATTGGCTTTTTTATTCTAAATATCATGAAGTTATCCTGACTCCAGAAGCCATAAATATTTATGGTAGGAACTTTGGGGAAAGCATAAAAAGGAAAACAAAAGGCCTCTAAATTTCCTCGCCTTGAATCCTGGGATGCATTTTCTTCTGTTTGTTACTTTTAAAAAAAAAAAAGATTTATTTATGCATACAATAAGTGGGGTACAGGCCAGAGGTGTGGGTGGAGAGAGGATTCACCAGAGACGGAGTGGGGAACAGAACAGGCAGACTGAAATACACTGCTGAGAGGAGCAGCGGGCAAGTCAGGAGAGGTCTGCTGCGCCATGTATGGATTGAACTCGTGCTGCAGTGGCTGCGGATAGCTTCATAGGTTACCTCTTAACCCCTTATACCACCAGGGAGGCCCTGTTTGTTATTTTTCTTCTAACAAACATGTCATTTCAGAAGTTTGACTCCTGGCAGCATTAAAACCATGACCATTGTCAATAAAGGAGAGCCCAGCTCAGGGAGTATGAAGAATATGTACTTCATTTCACTGGGTTGTTTTTTTTTTTTAATTGATGGAATTAAGTAAAAAGAGAGCTCCCCACTAAACTGACCGTGTCTACCAATTTCCTAAGAGTGCTCTTTTGCCCAAGAGCAAGTTATCCAATTATTTTCAATGTCAGATTAACTGAATAGTATTTTTGGATGCAAATCTCCCTGTCATCGTACAGTGCAAATCTTTAAAATCAATGAGTTACTTCCCAGGATCCCATCTGCTGTATTAGAAAAACTCTCACTGACCCTTTCCCACTGTCCTGTTCCTACTCACCTAAACTTGGTCTGTAGAGACTGCAGTTTGTCCAGAACCATCTAACAGTGATTAATCTCTCCTTAGCGTGGTAGGCTGGTTGTCCATACTCCTCTCCATGATCCACCTCCTTAGGCCAGAAACAGATGAAGCTCTTTGGAGCTCCATGCTCTGCTGCATGGGGGCCGTGGCTTTCCTCTTTGACCTTCCCTTTACCCAGCGATCTGCCCATGCTTGACAGAGTGCTCCTCTCATCCTCCACCTCATTGACACTCCTTGATGTCTCTTTCTGATGCTGTCTACCCCATGTCTAAGTGACAGTGAGCCCAGGCTGCCTTACCCTTCAGTGCATGGACTTTGCCACCATCTCCCCATGATAGGATCACATGTCAAAATCTTGGGAACCCACTAATATGCTTTAAGCAAACTTACCCGTGACATTTCAGTGTCTGTTCCAGAGACCCTGGGTGTATCATTTATCTATGTGCCATTGCCAATATGTTGCATGGGAGGCTCTGGTACCTCAGCACTGTGCTCAGGATGTCACCAACAAATAGTGGATGGACTCCCATTAGTATTTGGTCAAATCAGGAGACTTGGAACCCTTCTGTGACAACAACTGGAGAAGGAATGGGAGGAATGTGTCATCTTGGCAGGTGGAATCCACCTTTATGCATTCATCAAATGTGAATGCCACATGGCAAGGACACAGAGTTGATTGAGTCTCAGCCCATCTTTGTATAAGTCCCATGACTGGTAGGAAGGATCTATGGCACTGTTGCTATAAATCAACAGTGATGTGTGCTATCAGAAAGAGACAGAAACTCCTGACCCATTTCAGGTAGGGAGGAGTTTCCCAGCAGAGATGGTGGATGACGGTATTCCGGGCAGCCAGGAAGGCACAGAAGCATGAGTATAGGACTATTTCAGGAACATAAGACTAAAACAGAAGATGCATGAGGTAGGAGGAGAAAAGGAGAATGAACTATAAAGTTAGGGCATATCTGAGTGTCTGCTGTCCCACTCAAACTAGTTTGAGAAGCTGAGAGTTGGATAGGGAACCTCAGGTAGCAGGTCTTCTCAGCATCCTTTTTCACTAAGGGTCCCATCTTTCCATGGGTTGGTTCCAGCCTCTCTTAACTAACCGAAGTTTACCCACTGGGTTCCACTCACTCAAATTTGCTCTGGAGCAATGAACCAGACTTTGGAGGTCACCCAAGCCGTGAGAACATCCAGCCTGGGTACTGCTGCAGCTAGGAGTACGGGTACCACTCAGGCTTATAAGAGGCAGCCATATCCACGCCTTCATAGGTTGCTGAGAGCCTGTCACTGCTCCCTTCCAACTCTGTGCCCACTCATCTTCTGCAGGCAAAATTCTCTTCCGAAGAAGTCATATTCGGGATGTGGCTGTCAAACGACTGATACCAATTGATGAATACTGTAAGGTAAGTCCAGGAAATGCAACACCTCCCTGTGACTCAGATCTTCTCTCTGTGGGTAGTTTTGTTTTCCTTCCTTTCCTTTTCTGGCTACAAAGTGTTCATTGTGAAAAATCTGTGTAGTTAAAGAAATTAGCACTTTTTTAACTCCTCAACTCACAAAAAGATCGGAACCAAGTTGCTTTCACCACTTCTGTTCTACATTTTACTGGAAGTTCTAGCTGGGTGAACAAGCAAGAAAAAAAAAAAAATACAAGTTGTACCAATTGGAAAGCAAGAAAACTGCCTTGATTCATAGGTGACATGATTCCATTATAGAAAATCCTAAAGAAGCCATAAAAAAACAACTAGAGCTAATAAGCAAGTTTAGTAAGAGCACAGAATATAAAACAACCTAAGTACTTAAAAACAGGTGAGGGGATCAAGATGTATCTCTCACACACACACACACACACACACACACACACACACACACACACACACACAATGGAATACTACTCAGCAATAAAAAAGATTAACTCATGCCTTTTACAGCAACATAGATGGAGCTGAAAGGGCTTTTGTGAAGTGAAATAAGCCAGAAAGAGAAAAATAAATGCCAAATGGTATCACATACATGTGGAACATAGAAAAACCAAAGGTTCAGATGAAGATAAACTTTAAGGCCAACCTTTGAAAACTGACCATAGACCTTCAACTTTTGGAGGAGAAAAAAGAGGGAGAGAGGCAAAAACAAGGGGATGGAGGCGGGGACCACAGTGGACTATGGTGGAGGACTATGGGTTCTTTGGTGATAGCAGTATGTTATAGTGACTACACCTGCAGGGGGAAATGCTGTACTGTCAAAATACTAGCAAGGATGTAAAATAATGGTATTTCAATAACAGTTAAAAAAAAAATCACAGGTTACAAGATCAGTATACCAAAATCAATTCTATTTCTGTACACTAGCAGTGAACCCCAAAATGAAATTAAGAAAATAATTCTCACAATGGCATCAAAAAGAAAACTTGGGAATAAATTTAATAAAAGAAGCACAACGTGTGTACTGAAACTGCAAAATATTGCTGAAAGAAATTTGAGAAACTCTAATTTAATAGAAAGACATTCCATAATCATGGATTAAAAGTGTTAAAATGGCAGTCCCCCATCTCCTTCCACCCCCTCCCCTCCAGTTAATCTACAGATTCACTACAGTCTCTATCAAAATCCTAGTAGAGGGCCTCCCTGGTGACGCAAGGGGTTGAGTCCCAGCACCATGAAGCTATCCGCAGCCACTGCAGCATGAGTTGAATCCCCAGCCAGGGAACTAACCCACATGGCACAGCAGGCCTTTCCTGTCTTGCCCACTGCTCCCCTCAGCAGTGTATTTCAGTCAGTCTGCCAGTTCTACTCCCCACTCTGTCTCTGGTGAGTCCTCTTATACCCCCATTCCCTTGGCCTGCACCCCAGTTCTTGTATGCATAACTAAGTAAAATAAATCTTTAAAAAGTTTTTGTAAAAAAATCCTAATAGGCTTATAGAAATTAAAAGCTGGTGCTAAAATAGATAAAGAAAATCAAAGGACATAGAATAGCCAAAACAATTTTTTTAAAGGATAGACGCTTTTAAAGGATAGAGCTTGTACTGCCATTTTCAAAACTTTCTACAAAGTTATGGTCATCAAAATAGTAGCATCAGGATAGGTGAGTAGATGGATCAGTGAACAGAATTGAGATCTAAAAGTAAACTTAGACCTTTTAAGCAAAGGTGCCACCAAATTCAATGGGAATATGCTCATCTTTAACAAGCTGGGATCAAGGGATATCCATATGTAAAAAATAATTATTGGTATTTGCACCCTTACTTCACACCATGCCCAAAAAATCAACATAACATGGATCACAGACCTAAATATAAGAGCAAAAACTACAAAAATTCTGAAAGAAAACAGAAAATCTTCATGAACTCGTTTAGTCAGAGTTCTTAGATACCAACACCAAGAGAAAAATTGATAAATTGGACCTTATTAAACTTACAAATTTCTATACTTCAAAAGATAACTTGAAGAAAATGCAAAGATGCACTGCAGATTAGGAGATAATTGTTAATATATTTGATAAGGGACTTCATTGAAAATATATTATGAACTCTTAAAACTCAATCATAACAAGTCAACCTAGTTTAAAATAGAAAAAGGTTTAAATAGAACTTTCAGCCAGGAAGACATGCTAGCTAATAAACACATGAAATGGTGTTCAATTATCTTTAATCATTAAGGCAGTACAAAATAAAACTCTGAGATACTCCCACAGCAACGAGAATGGCTATAGTCAGCAAGACCAAGAGTTGGTGAGAATGTGGAGAAACTGAAGCCCTTGTGCTGGTGGCACCATATGATGGGAAGCCACTTTGGAAAACACTTTGGAAGTTAAATTTACCATGTGATTAGCCTTAGGGATGTACTCATGAAATTGAAAATTTATGTCTACACCAAGACTTGAATAAAAATGTTCACTGTAGCATTAATAAATAATAGTCCCAAATTGGAAGCAGTCCAGATATGTCATCTTGTGAATAAAGAAATTGTGCAGTGTCCACCCAGTTGAGTATTATTCAATAACAAAGTGCAGTGAAATACTAGCAGATGCTAATAGGGCTGAATCTCCAAAGCAGGACACTAAGTGAAAGAAGCCAGATACAGAAGACTACATATTACATATTATATGATTCCATCTTTGTGAAATTTGAGGAAAAGGCAGATTTATAGAAACAAAAAGCAGATAGTGGTTTCCTGGGCCTCAGGGGTGGTGGACATAGAGACAAACTGCAAATTAGGTTGGGGGAAATTTTTGAGGTGATGGGAAAGTTCTAAGACCAGATTGTGGTAATTGCACAAACTATAATTTACTAAACATCACTGTACAGTGTACTTATAATGGGTGAGTTTTATGGTATGTAAAGTATATGCTTCACTAAGTCTGTAAAAACCTTTAAAGGGGGGACGTGCAGGGATAGATGGCCCCTCTTGGCATAAGACACCGTGGAAGGGCAGAAAATCAGCTCCTGACTTTGCCAGGTGTGACCTCGTTTCATCCATCCAATAAATTTGAAAAGTAGGTTGTTATTTCCCCATTGTGTAGATGAAGCTGTAGAGACCCAGCAGTTACTTACAATACCAGTATCGGAGGATATGGAATTTGGCCTCTGCACTCACATACCTCTTATGGGCTTTCTAAAAATGTAACATTTCAAAAAGCTCAACCATTCAGACTCCCCTCTGCCCTAAGGATACCATCTGTCAGACAGACACAAAGACACCGCTGTTACCTGTAGCTCTCAGAGGAAAAATTAGACCTTCTCTTTGAGCCGAAATTCCCATTGTAGAGATGACCTTCCATTGTCCAGCCCTTACTAGCAAGAGCTTTGGGTCCACTTTGTCTGAGTTAGTGGTTCCTATTGGTACTTTCCCCAAAAGCTATTGTCCCTCAGCCCAGATTATGCCATCCAGTTTCTTCCCAGCCCACCAATTTCTTTCCAGAGTTTCCAACTTTTCCTTACATCCAGGGCTTCATGAACCCCTGGACACTTGATTAGGAAGTGGACATTTTAAATCCTGAAGTGATATCCTACCTACGTCTGACTGATATTTGAAATGTTACAAAGGTTTTGAATTTTCTTGCATTAACCAGGAAAGATCTGCTTGTGTTATATGAACCATGTGCAAGATACAGCCCTTTGCTATGAAGTATAAAAAGTAGAGTAGATATTGGGGAGTGGCGGGGGAAGGCATTGGCCAACTTCCTCATACTTAGTTTCAAGGGACCTGCCCTCCTGGAAGGAGATGAACCTCCCTTTTACAACAAGGTCTATAAAGTCTTTCCCAGACTGGGTAGGCTTTTACATAAAATTTGGATATCTGTATTGTCATCATTGCAAGCTGTTTTAAGCCAATTTGATCAATCACAGTTAGCTTTATTTTAGTAGAAATTGGTAGTTGCCAATAAATAAAGATAGATGAAGACTGTAGATATCTCCAAACCTAGCTATCAGGTGTATATTAACAACAAAAGAAACATTTTTGCTTTACCAGATATGCTATAAAGTTAAAACAATTAACATATTATGGTTATTATGACACAAGAATAGACAAACTATTGAAATAAAACAGAGATACCTCCCCCCCTGCCCCCCCAACACACACACACCAGAAAGAAATCCATATGTATTTTGATACTGACAAAGACAGTCTTGCAGGTCATTGAGGAAAGGTTGAATTCCTCACTACATGGGTATCCTTGTGGAGGAAAAATAACCAAAGAACTAATCCCTACCTCATGCCGCATATGTAATCATTTTCAAGGAAATTAAAGACCTAAATGTGAGAGGCAATGGTTTAAGAGGTCTTAAAAATTAAAAATAGAAAGCTATCTCCATAATCTTTAGGTATAGAGGAACTTCCAAAAATACATGTTACCAACCACAAAAAGATTAATTTATTTGACTATGTTAATTTAAGAACTTCTGCTCATTGAAAGGCACAATTCAAGCAAGACTCAGCCAAGTCATGCCACACATACAGGCATTTATTATCAATAAGCTTCCCAAACAACCTCTCAAGTTGTTTTGTAAGCTTATTGAAATACCAGCTGTCTCCCTGACACCACTTTGCATAAAACTTTCCTTGGGACAGATGCAATGATAATCCTATTGGCAAGATCAGCTAATCCTCAAAATGGTCTAACAGGAAAACTCTTCAGAAGAGGCAGGACTCAGAGGAGTCAGAATTTGAGATTCTTTTTTTTTTTTTTTTTTTTAAGATTTATTTATTTATTTATACAAGCACTGGGTACAGTCAGAAGCGTGAGAGGGTGAGAGAATTCACCAGAGCCAGAGTGGGGAGCAGAACAGGTAGAAGGACCAAAGTACACTGCTGAGGGGAGCAGCGGGCGTGGCAGGAGAGGTCTGCATGCCATGTGGGACCCTCCCTGGCAGCCGAGGATCGAACTGGTGCTGCAGAGGCTGGG